TCTGAGCTGTCACTCAGGAGAAGGCGTGTGAGGATGACTATCGAAGGCTGTGGACAGCTACATGGACTGTTGCCTCCAGGGTGCCTGCTGAGAGGTGCTGCATTCTCTGCTTCCTTCCCTGTGTCCCGCTGAGCTAGATGGTTCCCTGTAGTGGTGGCTCCAGAGGTCTCTAGTGTAACAGAAAGATGAAATGATTGACTGGAGAAGGTTCTAGAAAGAGGAGGGGGAAAGAAATCATAGGCTCCCGTAATGACACACATGTCAAGTTCTATGGAAGGATAACCAGGAAAGTGAGGTAGTTGCCAGAAGAGGGTAAGAGTCAAGGGTGCTGGGCTTTTGTGTTTAGGGTTTACTTACTTAGTTCATTAGTTACTTTATGTGTATGAGTACTTTACATGCATGTGTGTATGTGTACTACATACCTGTCTGGTCCCCAGAACAGGGTGCTGGACCCTGTGAAACTGGAGTTACAGATGGCTGTGAACCACCATGTGGGTGCTGGGATCTGAACCCAGGTCCTCTGTAAGTAGAGTAGATGCTCCTAACCACTGAGCCACCCATCCAGCCCCCAAGGGTACAGGCTTTTTAAAGATGATAGACATAAAATATTGGAGCTAAACCAATGGGGTGTGAAGTAGGTGATTATGTGAGGTGCTGGGCAGTTGTGTAGGCAAGGTAAGAGGAGGCACAGAAAGTGCTCAGGTAGTCACAGGCTACCAACCAAGAAGCCTGGGAACAAAGGTGCTTTTCCATTATGGCGGAACTCCTTTCTTCCCTGGCTTTGGCTAAGTGGTATTTCTAAACTGCTGAACAATGACTAAGTGCCGGGGATGGTGCTTTTACTTTAGGTGCTTTTATTATTATTATTATTATTATTATTATTATTATTATTATTAACATCCTTAGAAATGAGTGGCTGTAAAATTGCATTTTGTTACTAACAATTGAATGATGAGACAGGACTAACTCACTCAACAGTTATTTATTACCAGGTGTATAGCTCAATGGTAAAGCTCTTGAGTGGCATGTGTAAATAGGCCTGGATTTGTTCCCGGCACAGAAAAAAAAAAAAGATACTTCTAATAAATAGGAGCAGAGGCTTGGAATGTGGGTTCACTAATACACAGAGAAAAAAAATAACAGGAAAAAATTACTGACCTATCATGCACTTCTAGGCACTAAGAATCCAGCAGGAGCAAAATAATTGTATTTAAAGTACTCTAACAGTTCCATTATTAAGTGATTCACATGTGGTTTTTGTAACAAAAACACATTTCAAGGTGCTTTGGATTGTCCATTCACACTCTGTAAAACCCCCAGTTCCCAGAAGCTGGGAGACTTTGTTACCAATGTTTCTTCCCCAAGGCTCTTGGAGAAGTCATCTGGGGACTTTCTCCATTATCTTCTTTGCCAGGGTTTAGTCTATGAGCCTTTTCAAATATATTTAAGTGATCTCAGAATTTGGTCACTTATAGCTGCATTAGGAGGCTATTCCAACTGCCTTTAATAGCTGCTCTCTCTGTTAGTCTTTTAAATGCTACTTACATGTAGTTTAATTCTCTCACAAAACCAACCTGAGACTATTACCCTATTTAATTTCTCTCCCTTCAGCATGTACAGAAAGGAAGGAGTATAGAATTGCCAAGACTTCTTTTCACTAATGTAGAAGCCTGAATTTTCCACTTTTTCACTGAAGAATCCATTCCAGCATACTGAACCTTTAAAAGGTTAGCTGCCACTTGGAGCTCTTTCCATTGTTTCCCTCTGTGGCCTTCTTTACAATGGCCATTTCTCTGATTTCCCTGTAGTATATTTATTTCATAGGAAGCATTTATTTTAGAGTGTACAAAGCCTCTTCTAACCTCTTCCTCATTCATGTCAGAGTCTGACTAGATTTCCTATTAGTTGGAGATTTTATTTAGCAGAGAGCAGTGGCATGCACCTGCAGTCAGTGGCATGTACCTGCAGTCAGGGTACACCTGCAGTCAGTGGCACACACCTGCAGTCAGCAGCATGCACCTGCAGTCAGCAGCATGCACCTGCAGTTGGTGGCATGCACCTGCAGTCAGTAGCACAGGACTTGCTACTGTAGTGCCAGGACTTGCAGTGCTCTAACAAAATGATCCCTTGAGCACCGAAACTCAAGGCCAGTCTAGACACCCTAACAAATGTTATTTTTTGTTTCAGAACTCCCAAAATCTGTTACACTTTAGGAACACATACATTTCCCAAAGTATATCTGGTAAATGTAGGGGACAGTGGTAGAGTGGAGAGATTTACCTGTGGCTTTTTAAAAAATGTATTTTATATGTATTTTGCCTGTATATATGTATGTGTATCACATGCATACCTGAAGCTCACGAAGGTCAGAAGAGGGTTAGGAACCCCTGTAACTGGAGTTATAGATGACTGGGAGGCATCAAGTGGGTGTTGGGAATTGAGCTCAGGTCCTTTGGAAGAGCAGCCAGTGCTCTTAACAGCTGAGCCATCTCTCCAGCCCCTTTTTGTGGGCTTATTCCATTCATAAAGCTTCCAAAGGACCCATCCTTATTCTTAACAGTTTCAAATACTACTTGCTGTTTACTTGATGCATATGTTAAATATTTTAAACTTAGAGTAGTGGCTGTGTATTACCTATACAAGCATCATCTCCAAAAGCCTCTGTATTATATAATAACTCACATCACATTCTCTACTATAAATATAACATCTTACGGTATAAAATGTCTATCCCAAGGCAGTAAAATGCCTTGTGACAAAATGGCTACTCTTTGACTCATGTTTATCTCACAGCCTCTACAGTCAGCTTGAGATGTCTCTAGAGGATTTAGGATGGTCAACAGTTTTTCTGACTTTATAGTGGCATGAAAGCCCTATGGACTCTGTAGATTCTGTACTTTAAGTTTTGATCTACCTAATCTGATTTTGATCTAGGCAGTGGCAAAGAGCCAGCCACTCAATCACAAGATTACAGACAGAAACATTCTGCCGTGTACAGCTAAGCCATGAGTTAGGTGTAGAAAATGCATCCCCAACTTGCAACTCCCAATGGATTTACTGGAGATGCAAGACCATTCTAAACAGAAAAGCATCTGTGTTTGCTCCTTCTGTTGCAGCCTTCCTACTGCTGGGCTGAGAAGTATTTGTGGACCAAGGTATGAAGAACTAGTAAGAACTCTACATGTGTCTACATGTATGAAAAGGCCATTTTACACTCTAAATGAATCAAGTGTGTAGCAAGCCTGGGATCCTTGTAAAATGATAATGTTGACAAACAGTGGAACATCAGCACACATAGACTAAGCTTAGAAGAGCTTTGACCAAGAGCAGCAGATGGAAATTTCCAGGATCTCCATATACACACATTGCTCCAAAGTAAGTAACAGATTAAGTTCAAAGTTTAGAGAAAACAGAAATCCTTTCAGAAAAAGTATAATGGATTCCAACATGAATGGAGAGTCTCAAAGTATATTTTAGATGAAGTTTGGCTTCCTAAAATGGCCACTTTTCAGAAAGCAGGATATCGCTATAAAAGCACAATCAAGTGAAAAGCACTGAGGGGAAATCGTTGAAAACAAAGAGCTGAAAGAACTTGTATTTCCTTGGGGACATTATCGCCTCCACATCTGTTTATTCTTGTATAATGCATCTGATGGGGACGCAGAAAATGCTCAATAGTGTTAGTCCTTTGTGACTATCTTCTCTTGGGAAGGTCAGGTAATGTGCTATGATCTGCATTTTCCTCATCCTCAACTACAGGCCGGTCCAAACCACTGAAGAGTTTCATGGTATCCAGAGATGTTCTGGGTGGATGGAAGCCATGAAGAGATGTTTGGGACTGCTTGATTAAACAGAGGGTATTAACAGCTCTGGCCAAACAAAAGGGTTCCACCACGAAGGAAAGAGCGCTTCTGGTGGCTGGAACTTTGGAACTTGGATATGTTTTTTTCAATTTAGGGTAGTGACCAAACAGCTAGGAACTGTGCAACGAAATGGCTTGGATGCTCACCTCAAAGCAGAGAAGCCTCGGTAGGCTGAGCATTACTAATACCTTCCCTCATATTTCTGTAGAAGGCTGACCACACTTGCTGGAGGCGGTAGAGCTGGTTTAAAGTGTGTGAGGGTGGGGTTGGGGGAGGGAGGGAGACATGGAACAGGATGACAATAACGAATGGATAGTACGACCACACAGAAACATTTTTCTTTAGGAAGGAAGCCAGCACTTCTGTGTTTGTGCTTGTTTGTGAGACTTTCAGTTTTGGTGAAGAGGTGGCCTGTTCGGAGGCCAGGAGGTTCCAGCTCTCTGGAACCTGTTGCAAGAGTCATAATTTCTGCGAACCAACCCCAGCACAATGGTTTTGTTTTTCCGAATGCATTCTCAAGAGTCACTACGTTTTGCAAAAGTGAAATAGGGCTACACCACTTTGGCTGAAGGTGACAGTCAAGTGGCATTGCACAGCAACACACACACACACACACAACACACACACACACACACACACACACACACACACACACACGGAAACCGGCGGTTCCATGCTGCCCTACTGCAGCTAGCAAACCGGACGGCCAGCTATTCCTCAAGGACACGCCCTGCCTGCATCTCCCACCCAAATTCGGGGACGCGGGCCCAAAAAGCAACTCCGCTACGAAACTTTCGCCACATCAACAAGTGGAGCGCAGCCAGGCAGCAGCGGTGAGTGCTGGAGGCGCCAGAAGCCGGGGAGGAAAGGACAAGAGGAGAGGGCGGAGGAGAGGACTCCTCTGGCTCCCGCTGAGGATGCTGCAGCGGGCATCGGAGCTCCCTGCCTTCCCCTCTACCTCTGAGACCTGAAGTTCAAGGGCAGGCCTCGCCAAAGCACCGGTTCCGAGCCCCTGACTGCGCAGGCCCTGCCCACACAAGTAACTTTCCCTAGTTTCGAAGAGTTCTCGCAACCCTCGGTGGTGTCCCGGTCCCCACCGCACAGTGACCCTGCCACCGCCCTCGAGAGCCCCAGTACCAATGCCCTGGATGAAGACGAAGCCGGTCACCGCGAGCACCGGGTGCCAGTTAAACTCGAGCGCGCCGCCGTCCCAGCCAAGCCCCTCTCGGAAGTGCAGGACCCAGACGAGCACGAAGATCACGGACAGGAAGCCCACGAGCAGCGCAGACACCAGCAGCCCCAGGAAGCCCCGGTAGCCCTCCATGGCTGTCAGCACCCCATGCGAGAGAACTCGGCGCTGCGGCCGCGGCCTCGGGGTACTGGCCCGGCGGCGGGACCGGGGCGGCGACTCCTCGGCGCCGTCTCCGCCCGAGGGGAGGAGCTTTCTCGGGGTAAGAGGCTGTGGGGCCTCCCGGGGGTGCCACGAGCTCCGAGTGGCCCCCCACCTCTTGCACCCTGATCACGCGGCCGCCGACTTTTGAACTCTTCCCGCCTTGATTCGTGCGGAGGGCTGTGACAAGGCTTGGCTCTTGGCTACCAGAGAGGCACAGATCCATTGGATGCGGTTAATGCCTACGGTTTTAGTAAATGAAAATTCCTGGCCCCCCGAGGATGGAGAGAAAGAACTGGGGTAGCTGGTGTGGGTTGTAAAGAAACACCTTTGGAGCTGAGACTGATGCTCACACTTGATTCCAACACTCAGCAGGCTGAGGCAGGAGGATAGCAAAAGATGTAAACCATTCGAGGCTACATAGTGAGCTCCAGACCAACCTGGCTACAGAGACCCTGCCTCAAAATCAAAACAGAGCAGAGAGAAAGGAGAAAGCTCAAAGTTTGCCTAGCGTGCACGAAGACCTGGGAACAGTTCTGAGACCCGAATAAACCGGGTGTGGCGGTGCACACCTGTAATCTCACCACCGGGGAAGTAGAGGCAGGAGGATCAGAAGTTTAATGTCATCTCCAGTTACAAGGAGAGTTTGACGCTAGCCTGAGGTACATGCTACGAGGAGATCTCAATAGTAAGAACAATAATGACAAGAAAAGAAAAGAAAAAAACCCAAACAGAAAAGAAGCCACCTGCAACCTGCACAGGTAGCTGCTGCTATGGACTTGCTTAGAGTGTGGTAAAATGGATTTAAAAGATGTCCGCCTGCCTAAACCTTGTGATTTACTTCGATGAAGACGTGCTGGCATCCTGCCCTAGATGGGCCAAGAACATTGTCAGCATTATGCACACTCTCAGAGGAGAAGGATTCTGGATGCTGAGGCTTCTAAAACGCACTTGGAAATGGCTCACTCTAGCCCCTAGAGACCATAAAAAGTGCAGAAAATACAGTGTGCATGTGGGGTGGGGTGGAGCCTTGAAATGATTTTCCAAAGAAAGGTTTTATGAGCCAGTGAGATGGCTCGATGGGTAAAGGCACTTGTCACCAAGCCTGACCACTCGAGTGTGATCCCTGGAAACTACAGGGTAAAAAGGAGAAAACCTACTCTGCAAGTTGTCTTCTGACCTCTACATCCACGCTGTGCTCACAGAACATGCACACACACACACACACACCAAATAGATGCTTAAAATTAATTTTAAAATAGTAAGAAAATACAAAAATTATTTTAAAGGTTTGTTTATTTGGATTTAGGTCTGTGTGCCTCATGCATGCAATGCCCACAGAGGCCAGAAGAGGGCATTGCATTCCCTTGGACTATAGACAGATAGTTGTAAACCTCCATGTGGTGCGCTGGGAATTGAACCCTGGTCCTCTGGAAAAACAACCAATGTGCTTAAAAGCTAGCCAACACTCCAGCTCCAAAAATATTGTATGGTTTTGTTTAAATAAAGGTTTTAGACCAAGGAAGCAGAGTGTCAAGCCCTGGTAATAAGGCTGGATTAACGGATATGAGTTTGAGACTGTGGCCTGTAGCCATGACATTAAGCAAATGGGAGAAAGGAAGCTACATCCACAGATCAAGGCTTCCTATAATCTGATGCAGCCTAGCCCACATTTTTATCACTTGCCACAGTCTGACTGCCCCTGGATGTTATTGGCTGTAAATGTCTCTTGGAGCTTCCTGAGCATTCCTATCTATCTTTTTCTCTACATTACCTGACCTCCACCTCTTCCAGAAGCCCTCCAGTCCTTCCAGGCCCCAGACTATATTACTCTCAACCACATCCCCATTCAATGCCTCTACACCACTTTCAAAGATGTGATATAATACCCTGTGGCAGTCTCTGCTCTCCAGACTTTTATCTTCTTTGGCATATGGGAGTTTCTCAACACATGTTTGTCGATTAATGTGTCTCGAGGGTCTTGACAAAGGATGGACAACATATTCAAAATGAGTAATTTGCTAAAGAACAGAACTGTTTGTGAGCAGGACGTGTGAAACCACAAGGTATTCATACTGTCCCAAGCCTATAGCAGAGGGGGTCACTGGAGTTCAGAGTGGGGAGGGCAACCTGGTGGGAGAGGTGCAGCCAGCTTGCAGGGGCCCCCAAAGGAAAAAGACCGGAGGGGAGGTAACTATTCGACCTTTACCCTCCCTGCCCATCTCCTGGAAAGGTCCTCCAGTGGCTGAGCAGAACCTAATCCCATATCCCAAGGCTGTGATGTAGCTCTTGCAAGTCAGCTCCCCATGGCGCAGAGCAGAGCGCAGGAGGGACAGGCATGATGACACCTTTCTTCGTGTGTGTAGGAAGTGTCGGTGGAGTTTCTGTCCTGCCCCATCACACAGCTTCTTAGTCCCAAATAAACACACGGAGACTTGTGTTAATTACAAATTGTTTGGCCAATGGCTCAAGTTTCTTATTGGTTAGCTCTCTCGTAAATATTAGCCATTTCTATTAAACTGTGTATGACCACAAGGCTGTGGCTTATCTGTAATGCTCTAGCTGTTACTCCTTTGGAAGCTACATGCCATCTCTCTTCCCACTCTTCTCTGCCTTCTTCCCAGAATTCTCCTTGTCTGGTAGCCCCGCCTATGCTTCCTGCCTGGCTACTGGCCAATCAGCATTTATCCATCAACCAGTAAGAGAAACATATATTCACAGCATACAGGACATCCCCCCCCTCAAAGAAGTCCATTATTCTCAGGGCTGGAGAGATGACCCAGCAGTTAAGAGCACTGACTGCTCTTCTAGAGGACCTGGGTTCAATTCTCAGTTACCGACAGGTTAAGGGTAGGAAGGACCTATTAGTCCCACTGTGTCTCCTTGTCTGGTCATGTTCTTTTCTTCATTTTCCTTTCTGTTGGAACTTTCTGATATACTCTCTTCCACAGCTGAGCTCTCACGGGACATCCACTGCACTGCCATGCCCCTTTGCCCCCATAGGCTTTTAGTTCCTGTGGTCCCTTGTCCCTGATTTTCATCTGCCTTGCTGGGATGCCTTCTGTCTTTTTGCGCCTCTGACAATATTCAACTCATTCAACCGTCTCAAAAGAAATCCTGTGTGTAAACTTAGTGTTTCCTGGTAGATTCGAACTAACATAAATGGAAAACTACTAATCTGGTAGTACTGTGACACACATGCTGGACATGGAGAACAAGCTCTCTGCAATTATCCTCTGACCTCCCATGTGCATGTGACACATGTTTACCCCAGTCCTCACAAACACAAAAGTAAGTCATAAAAACCTAAAGTTCTATCAGAAGCTGAATAAAGAACTGAGAGCCAATATCAGTCTCTCCTCCTTCAAGGTGATTTAGTGTTACACCAGTAATGGACAGCTCACATTTCTGTCTTATTATGAATGGAGGGATATGTTTAAGTGGCACAAAATCAAAGACACAATCCCAGTTTCTTCCCTCCTTTTCCCTAGACAAATGATGTGGGGATCAGAAAGTTGTCGTGGGTACTGCTCAGAAGTAGAGGACCTGCCGAGAATTCATGAAGTCCTGGGAGTTTGGTCTCCAGTACTAAAAGAAAGAAAAAAAAAAATGCAATCATCAAGAGACTCATGGCTGAGACTGTGGTTTGTGATGCAAGCCAAGCCCAAGAAATGGTCAAAGGCTCCTTAATGAAATAAAAGGATTAGTGTTTTAAAAGCACGAAGTAGGAAGCCTGCTAATGGGACAGATATGCTTTCATCACAGGAGGCATATCAAAGACAGGCAGGCAGGTTATCTCCAGGAATTCATTTACCCTGGGAGGGGCCCCTCCCTGGGTCCACAAAGCACACCACATACCAAAGATGAATAATACCGAAAATAAGAAAATACAGCGAACACAGCTTGGAGCAGTTGTTGACAGAGAGTATTTAACAACACATTCATGGAGACAGATTGAGGAGCTTAGAGTCTAAGATAAAGCTAGGAGTCAGCAAGGAATGGAATGCCCTGAAACATGTTTCCTATAATCAAGCTCCCACACGCAAAGCAAGTTTTATAAGCACATTGGGCGGTGTGAGTGGGGCGTTATACTGTGTAAGGAACTGGACTATGCAATTAAGGAGGAGTCCAAACCATAGCTTTCTCTACCTTTGGAGGTTTTTATTGGGGCCTTCTGGTTGACTTTAATACAACAGAAATAGGGTATTCTAATGATAACCCTCCCGTCACTGATGCATTTTCTAAAAGGGCTTTCATAGGCAGAACACCTCAGAAATAGATTTCCAGAACTTGGTCTCAGACCTCAGGGCCTTAGTGAAGTGGGGAAGGATTGTGTGAGCATAAAAAACAACTCTCACTAGAATAGTCTTGCTCGCTCTCTCTCCCTTTCAAAAAAATGTATTTATTTTGATGTGTGTGTGTGTGAGAGAGAGGGAGGGGAGAGAGAGACAGAGAGACAGAGGCAGAGAGATCAGAGGACAACTTGTGGGAGTCAGTCCTCTCTTCTACTGAGTGGGTCCCGGGAATTAGGACTTGGGTCATCAGGCTTGGATGCTTTACCCATTGAGCCATGTTGCTGATTCCAGAGAGTGTTGGATATTTCTAAATAAAATTTACAGGCAGATAGTTTAAATGTATCTTATTAGCTCTTGGGAAGGCTTACTTGTATCTTTGTGACTAGATGAACGTGAACGCGTTTTTAAAGAGAAAATTAACTTGTCTAAGTCCAATTTTCACTTGTTTTTCAAAGTAATTAAAATTTTTTGAGACAGTCACTAGAACCTGTATGGGCTGGCTATCTTGTGAGCCCCCAGGGACCTGCCTGTTTCTGCCTCCCCACGGCTGGAATTACAAGCATTGTTATGTCCAGATTCTGAACCCCCAAATCACCAAGAGACTCATTCTGATGCACAAGCAAAGAGTCTTTTATTGTTTAATGAGCTAACTGCATTGATTAAGGCCCTTTGTCCATTCATCACTGTGGATGGCAGGGGGAACTTACTGGGCTGTGTAAGGGTACAGTCTCAGGGTTGG